CAACTTCTCCACACCTTTTGACTTATGTCAGCGTGTTCTTGCTGCGCTTCGACCTACACTTTTAGACCTTCCCTCTCAACCCTAACACTTGGTGTCGGTTACCCTTATCTGATTGTATATGTTATTTTGTCCAATTATGTTTTTTTTTTTTTTTTTTTTTTTTTTAATTTCTAATTCCATAGTTATTATTATGTGTATTCATTTGCCTTGCATTTACGTATATATTGTTAGTGTTTACCTTTCATATATTTGTAATTTGATTTTAACCCAAAATCTAGAACCTTCGAAACGTCATAAAACATGAAATTCACCATGACTGTGTTAGTCTACCTGTTCATCCTTATATATATATATATATATATATATATATATATATATATATATATATATATATATATGTACCAGATTGGAAAGTTTGCTGTGTGCGGTGGATTTCGTATCTCAAGCGCGATTCTGGCCGCGACATTTGGACAAATTTTCTCTCAGCCGCGCCATTTAGAAACTGGAGGCTTAAACAAGCAACCGCGAACTGGGAATTCCTTAAATTGAAGCCAATGACTGGCTGATAGTCAAAAACACAAAGAACACATAGTGACATTCAATTTCTGCCATCTGATTGCGTTACCGTTGTTTTTTAACGTTTTGAATAAAAAAGGGAGTGCTGGGAGTGCCAAGTTATTTATTGCGTTGGAGCCAAGAGAGAATCACAATTTAATGACAACTCGTCTGACGATGGTAAGTATTTTCCTATTATTTATTTTGTTAACCCGTCACAGGTTAACAAAATGCGCGGCAGAATCTCAGCTGCGCATTTTTGTATCAATCTGTATGTGTAGTTGTACAGTTTTTGCTTCTAAACAACTCTGCCGCACACTGTGTAAAGTTTCCAATCTGGCATATATATATATATATATATATATATATATATATATATATATATATATATATATATGTATGTATTATATATATGTCATATAAATGTGTATATGCAAATTTTTATTTAATTCTCCAAAATTAACATAAACTAGTAGCGCTGCCACCATCCGTGTTTTGACTAAAAATAGGAGGTATCCAGAAAAAACCCTTCTTTTGAGGTGTTAGTGTGGTATTGGGCTCAGTGGCCTTCTAGGCATGTGGGGTTGCTGGTCATACTCATGGTTATCTAATATTAATTAATATTAATATTAACTATCTAAGGTGGTCTATGGAAAGATCATTTCCCCTTCGTAACATTTATTACACAAGATTTACAACAAAAATAATGAGACTATTTTTGCCTGTAGTCCCTCTTTCCTCAGACATGAGACTTCCTAGATAACATTGTGTTGACCCTTTCC